ACATCCGCTGCGATGAATGACTGGAGAGGCAATGGAATTGTTCTCATGAATCTAGAACCACTTTCAAATGACTGAATTAGCACTTAATTGTACGGGTCACAAATACACTGAAACACCCAGCTTTTTACTTTCTGAAAGGGTACATTCACGAGGACTTTTGTTGCCACGCCATTTTCCTCCTTCTGCGTCGTCTCATTTTGAAGATGTAGCCTGATTTTCCTCTTCATGCAAAAGATGCGTGCCTTAGCTTCTAGTATTTCCTTCTAAAGTGTCCCAATTCTCCAAATCAAATGAAATGTTGATGATTGCCTTTTTTGCTATTGAGATGACAAAAGGGGATCTCAGAGGTAAAGTGATGTCGTTTTGGTAGACTACAGATATTCTTGTTAATGTCACATGGCAAACAAAATCAGTCCATTGCAGTAGGAACTTCCTCTGTGATGATCATGTTTTAAATATCAGGGTTGAAGGGCTTTGGTAACAATCTGCCCTATGAACCATTCTAATTATGAAACCCTAGCAGAGTACAGGGTAACTAACTTGCCTGCCTGCCTGCCAGATTACTCACCTTAGCCTTCAAGGATAAAGCCGACAAAGCCATTAAATACCTTACAATCCTCTTGTTTTTAAGAAGAAATCACAGAAGCACTTTGAGTACTGGCACGCTGCTTGCCAATCCGCAACGAAAAATCAGTGAATGGACTAACTTTCAAGTGCCCCGATTGTAGAAGAGATTATCAAACTCACCGACGACACGAAGCTTCACTTGGCCATAATAATCCAGGTTTATCATCATTTTGAACGACGGATTGATGGAAGGCCTCTAAATGCGATTGTGCGTAGACTTTCTCTTCATTTGCAGCCGAGGCGACGTGTGATATCACTTGCAAGATTGTAGGGTTCAGGGGCAGCCTCTCAGTCTCAATAGCTGAGATGTACGACATGGGCGATTTACAAAAAACCGCCAGCATGCAAAGTTAATTAAGGCCTAGAGCTCATTTAATTTACCGTGTTTCTAATTAATTAAAAGGTTTGCAACAAAGTGGACAACTTACGGCCAAATGGGCTGCCGGACTTATAGCAAAAAAAAACGGCAAAGCGGCGGCAAAGCTGTTGTCACTCAGCAATGAAATCGACAAGGATTGGGTACTGAAGGGCTTGAGTCAATACTTGATGCTCGGGTGTAAAGCCAAGCTTCATTAATTACAGATTCTTCTTCTCTAGTTCGTTTTGGCTTTTGATTTGCCGGTGAAGGCTATTATTCGTGACCAACCAAACTCTAAGAAGGCCACAGCGAAGACTCTCTTTACTGCTACCTCACCTTCCAACAGATGACCTTTTGCGCCTGAAGCCCAAGCATAAGGTAAGATGTTGTCGCTCCGTTTGATGCTGCGGGGCCAGTAATTGCTGCATCGGCCAAGAAACTCAAGGGCAATGCTGAGTCCACCAAATCCTCTAAGAGCATCATATTAGTAAAGCATCTTTCTAAAACCTGAAAATTTACCTTATACTGCAGGAGGGAAGCGGGTTTAGACGATGAGATGACTCAATACAAGGTGACTGCCTTCAAGAGCTACAAGTGCTAACCAATAGACAGATTCGGTGTTGCCTATGCCACGCACACCTGAATTCGAAAGTGAGAGCATCCGAGGTGGGTTATGGCATTATAATTTACCACGTTTTATGCACGATCGACCTATTGTTTGTTACTTCTGGCTACCTTAAGTGTGGCATAGTTGAAAACGACCGGCATTCCACGTTTGAGCCTTGCTGTGGCTGGTGTGTCCAGTGAGTTCATTGCCTATTAAAAGAAAGAAAGGACCAATGGGACGTGTTCCAGCTCACATAGCACACAACCAACTAACCGTTATGCAAGATCATTCGCAGCTTAAGCGCTTTTTCTCACCGAGATTAGAGTTATACCATGACTCAGAGTTTCTACGTCATGCGCAAAGGAAGTCCGGAGGAATGCTGTTCAGATGAAGGATGATGAAACGGCGTGGATCCACCAATTTAAACCTGTAAGCCATTAATCGTCACTAGTTGGACAAAGTACTTTCCTTAATTGATCCAGCTAATACCTCTGAGGGGAGAATGACCATACCATATTGGATAATGCTGAAATTCAGTTGGTGGAAGAAAGATTGTCACACAAGTAGCGAAGGGTTATTACTTAAGGGTGGACGCCTACGCTGGATGATGCTTCCCTTTGAATCAAAGAACCTAGTCTTCCTGCTCAGTGATTACTGCGTCAGAAGTCGGCTTGTCAAGCGTGTCGGGGTTCTCCACGTATTGGCAGCTTAAAATAGACAGAACTATTCGTGGTCAGCCCACGGTCAGATTCACAGATGCTTACAATGCAGATGCTGACAACTCCGGCTCAGGAGACAGATTATGTCTCCATTTTCTGTCCAAAGAGCCCCTAATCTACCAATCAAATCATAAAGCCCCCAAGAAACGGAGGAAGTCTTGAACGACTGTCGACTGACGGGAATATCGAATGATGCAGTCGACCTTTAAAGCAATTGCGGCAGATTGTTTGCTCCTTTAGATGTACCCAAGGGCGAGAGCAAAAGGTGTCGACAGGTGAAATTCCTAACAAAGCTGGCTGGCGATCCTGTTCTCTTATCTACCAAACAAGTTTTGCTGGACCAATGGCCTAAAAGAATTGTAGAAAAGGAGATTTCCAGACTAGATGGAAGGACCCATGAGGAACCCGTGCGAATAATTTGTAGAACCCTGAAGAGAAATAAACGTCAATTACCTTTCAGAATCGCACTGGTATTTTTTTCCGATCTTGAAGAAGCATGAATTACTGACTATCAGTGATACATCATTTTGTATGTTTACATTTCTTTCCTCCCTTTTCTCTTCTTGTTACTTCTGCATGAATAACTGTTGCCCTCGGTATAAAGTGGACCTCGCATCACCGCCATTACTGTCACTACCGCTGTCGGCAAAATTGGTTTGCTTGTGTGACTGTGAGTTTTCTATTCCCCTCTCCTGCTATGATGTCTGATTTCGTGCTCTGCCATTGTCTGGCTTTTAAGTTTTTTGCTCCAACCTCAAAAAAACATAAAAAACCGAACATTTATATCGCCATATTGTAATTTCAGAGAGGATTTCAAAGTAGAGCCAGAGGCTACACTCGTAGCAGCGGCAAATCTGACTTTATTGACTGGAGGTCTAAGCTTTGTCGGACAGAAGAGAGAGCATATTTGCTGCGGGTGGCCGAATCTTCGGCGACTCGCATCTGGACTAGCAAAAGTGGCTTTTGTCAGTCATGCCAATCTTATGCTTCGCAGTTGGGGAATATAATGACTAAAGCCGCAATACGTCTCAAAAAAGGGTATTTTGAAGGTGTATGTAAGGAATGACAACCAGCAGAGGCAAGATGATTTGCCGTTATGATGTGAAATCGACACTTGAACTATCAAACCGACCAAAGACAGTCATGGATGGGGAGGGTGATGAGCCAATTGTAAAGTCAGCCGCCTATTTAAACATAAGTAGCTTTGTGCGAGACTGGCACAAGACCGAATACCCACTACCTCATTTATCCAACGCGAGCAGGAATATGGGGAGATTGTGGGTACTTCTTTGATGTACAACACTGCCAAAAGTTGACTGCGAGTTTCGCAGTCGCCTAACCTTCAAGACTCTTAGTTGTAATCACATTCTTAAGTGCTGCAATGCCTCAACTCTCACACTTTCCATTGACGCTTCTAACCGACGATTCTGGTGACCTAAGCACAAGCGATTTGTGGGGCCTTCGGATAAAGCATTGGCACAACTACTGTGCCCATTGGTGGCATTCGGACAGAAGCAAAAATTGGAAAGTGTCTCGTCAACTGTCTGGTTGTAGAAGTGACATGCGGATACGAAGAGGACTGCTCTGCTGATGGAGGGAGGAGGAAATTGGGGGAGATCAGTTCTCCACCCAACTGCTGTTGGTGTCTGCGCAGAGTAGCGCCAGTGCAGTGTGACATGCCACCAAAGAAGAAAGGAAGGTGGGAAGGAGTGGCATTTTATGGGTGATTGCCTAATTAGATAGGCAGAGAGAGAGAGAGGGAGAGAGAGAGAAGAGGAGAGGGCAATCAACGCTCAGGCAAATGGTGTGTTTAGCAAATCACCGTGGCAACAACCAGCAGGTAATGGGGTAGTGGGATAATCAGGTAGGAGAATGAGGACTCAGGTGGCGCAAAGGCAGACCACTTGGCATTTGAGGCAGTTGAAGCGTATGAACAGCAGTTGGTGAGTTGACTGGTCGAAAGGCGAGTGAAATGGAGGTGTTGGCGTACAGAGGTCAAGTGTAGCTGGTGAAGTGGAGGGATGGAGTGAGGAAGTGAGGAAGGGAGGAAGAGAGGGAGGGAGAGGAAGGAAGGGAGGCAGGGAGGAGAGAGAAGAGTGAAACGTCATGTACACGCATGCAGGCACACAAGCACACGCATAGGTAGATGAAGAGGCAGACAGACGGCTAGACATACAGGCAGAGGGACAGTCAGACGAACTGATGGGTAGATAGGCAAACACTCAGTCAGTGAGTTACCAGTCCTTCAGTTGGTCGGTCAGTAAGTGAGTTAGTTATTGAGGCTGTTGGGAGTGCAGGGGTGGGGGGTTGGAGGGGCGAAGGAGACAGGGAGGCCAGGGCGGAGAGGGGGACAGAGAGGCAGGTTGACAAGCAGAAGTGAGCGAATACTCGCTCAGTTGCCGTTGAGGGTGAAGTACTTCTTGAAGAAGTGGCGGATGCTCTTGCCCACACTCGAGTAGCGACGTGGATATTTCAACTTCTGCTTCATCGAAGTTCTGTGCTCGTGTGAGGAGGAGGCCTCGGAGGGATCGCCTTTGAGGCTAGCGATGCGACTGAGACGCTGACGCTCCTCGTTCACGTGTTGATTGGCCGCCTTGATGGCTGAGACGAGGCCTACGAGTAACTCGTTCACCCGATGATTGAGGGAGATGGAGACCTCGTAGAAGTCGCAGGAATACACGGAGGCCAGGTGCTTGCCTTCTGCAGAACAAATGAGAGAAGAAAGTGATGGCTGAATTGACTTCTGCCATGCTTTACGCACAAGAAACCTAACGGATGGCAAAAGGGAAGGAGGCATTGGAGGGTGTCAACTGCACTTCCTTTTGGACAAAGCACCTCACTTCACTCTGCTTCACTTCACCTCAACACCTCATCTGAGACCTCAGCTGGCGTGGCAGATTCAGCTTTGGGGCTGAGGTGCATGCTGCCACGGTGTCACATCATCGTCGGTGGTGGTGCCTCCTTCCGTGAAGGAGGTGTTGAGAAGTGCGTGAATGGTAAGACTCACGTGACGTCGTGTCATGCGATGTAATGATGAGACTGAGGAGATGCTGGGCTTTCGCGTCACACTGTCTCTTCAGCCTACAGCGAGACTCAACACTGCCCTGGTTACCTTACACCACCTTACTGATTGTGATGAGATCACATTTGTCAGGGAAAGCCACGTCTCTTGTGCAATCACTCACCGACAAGCGATTTTGTGTCCACCACTGATCCACGGTAAGTCAAGTGTTGTATGGTCTTTGCTGTACTGACTGAATGTTTACATGAGTGATTGCGAATGGCTAAGGCTGTGGAATGACAACCATGAGGCGGGTGATTTGTATCATGGCACAGACTTGTGGTCAGTCGTCTCAGAAACGTTGACACACTATCCAATCGAGAGTTCGACCTTTTGGCAGTTCAGCATCCTGACACCGTAACACCATGCTCGAAGCCAAGTGTGCACACTGAGAGACATGCGAGTTCGAGGTTGAGGGGTGTCGCCTTTGCATTCTAGGGAGAGGTTGATGATCACAATGCCTGGTTGCAACGACGTCTCATGAGTCTGCGCCCTTACTTGAACACCCACCATCATCTCCTAACCCTTGCCTCACACTCTCTCCCAAGTAATCGGTTTCATCGGTCGGATGAGGGTGATTTAAACTGATACAACAGTGGATATGAACAATTAAGGAGAATGGAACAAAGTAAGGCGCCTGACTGTGTGAGAAGGCGATTCATTGGCTAGACACCGAAACAAATTACTGATCCACACACATCCTCGGCTGTGTAGTGGCGTTTGTGAGCTGAGGGTATATGCATTAATTTGAAAGGACTGCTGTGTGACAAACACCTACAAACTGTGCATTACTGTGGAGGCACAACCGTGCACTGGCACAACCTTTGACCACCTTGATGAGATGAGAGTGGTCTCGACTGTGCAGGCATGCGATGATATTCGCTTCGGTCAGCAATCAGTGGAAGGACGATTGGTGCGTCACGCCCTACAGACTGTGTTGTCGTCAAGGCAGCATTGCTTCTTGTGACTGCACTTGTGATAAAACTGTTTTGGGTGGGATGTCCGCACGTTCATGGTATGGAGAGAAGGGTAGAAAGGAAGAGGGACACAGAAGGAGGGAAGGATGGAGATAGAGCCTTAGCTCATCACCCAGAGCTTGCATGCACGAGTACTGCTGGTGCAAGGGCATGACAGCCCATCGTTCATGCGTGATCAACACACTTCAAGCTAGCCAGTCGCACAATGCACTGCGTGGATGGTCGATTTGCCAGAGGAGAGGTGGAATGCAATGAAGTGCTTTCATACTTCCTTCATTGCTTCCATGAGCCTCCCATGAGTAGGATTTCTTGGTATTACAGAATTTTTGGATGATTTCGTGTGGTTAGAACAGCCGAAGGAATGATTTGGAGGTCTGCATACATGCAGGCATGGGAAGATCCTACTTGAGGAGGCAGAACAAGCCGGAACGATAAATAGATAGATAGACAGATGATGGATAGGTGGCGAGACAAATGGGGAGGTGGGTCAATGGATAGAGAGATGGCAAGGCAAATGGATGGCTAGAGAAAGAGATGGGGAGTTGGATGATGGATGGCCATTTGACCATGAATGCTGGCCACTCACCGTCGTAGGAGACGCAACGTGCTCGAACCAAATCGGTCTTGTTGCCAACTAGCACGATGGCACTGGCGATTTTACACCGTCCAAGAATCTCCGAGACGATTGTTTGCGCGCCTTTGAAGGACTCCCGATCGTCGATCGCGTACACCACCAGGTAGGCGTCTGCCGAGTCGATCACCTTAGTCAAGAAATGCCCTTTCAGTGTGGCATCATCCACAGGCTGCATCAGCCAAGTTCTCAGTTAAAAAAGAAAACGGCCACAGATTAGGTCGATAGTAGGGGAAAAGTAGGCGATTGCAAAAGCACCAACTAAACCCACTCTACCCCACTCCGTGCCACGCCAACCCGACAGAAGCGAGCCATGGTCACTCACAATGCCTTGCCTTGAAAGAGGGAGAGGAAAGCAGCAAAAAGCGTTTGAGATGTCCTACAACTAGCGCACCGCATCGTCGCTACTGTCCATAAACCTCATGGCCTTTGCGCTGGCCTATTGCGTGCGCTCTCGCCAGCAGTAAACAACGCCACGTTAGGCATTACACCACCACCACCACTACTACGGCGGAGTTACTGATGGCGTATCCGTTTTCCCTCATTCTGCAATGACTTGCCTTTCCAAGGTCTTCTTCCTAGTGAATTCGAATCCTCTTGTCTGCGAGTAGAGGGAGTAGGCTATGGGTATTTGGACTTAGGTGTGTTGCAGAACCGGTGCAAAGTGGTGAGGGCATGATCAAGCAATGCCGCAGCTGCCATGCTGGTACTACGATCCATGCGACATGTTCCATCGTCGAAGAAGTGGACAGTTGAGCAAATGTTACTGCCTGCCTCGGGGCTGATTTTCAATGCTTTGTTAGAGGGAGACATGTGAACCGATGTCAATATGTCACTGCCACTCCTAACTTTAATCGCACTGGTTTGACAAGCGGTTGTTGCTTGCATGATTGCGCAATTCATGCTGCCATTTTGCTGTCATGTGGCGCCACTTTCCCTTTCCACCCTCACTGTAGGACAATAATGGGCACCTTTCCAACGTTTCGCCCCATTTCATCATCAGAGTGAATTTGGGGCTGAGGACGAGTCACAGTTGGCGACGATGCGGGACAAGCACTACCTACCGGGGATTATATCAACTGCCATTTAATTTGTTGGAAAGGAGGAAGCATATTGAGTGGGTGGTGGTGGTGGAATCGATGGCGGCTCACAATAGACGGACGATTAAAAGCGCTTATTTTTTAGGACCCTCACCCATCTAGCCAGTTTGGCGTTTGAGGTGAAGCAGATGGTAGTTGAGTTGAGGGTAGATTAGAAGAAGTGCCTTGTGGCTGCTGGTGCACGAATTTTTGAAAAACATCTTGTGACTATACTGTGATGGCGACCAGGAGGCGAAGCGACAGCACCAACCATGAGGCAGAACAGGAGATGGTTTGGGTGTAGCCTCAGGGCACGGGCTCTTCAGTGTCACAAACATCCTTCCATCTACTCCATGAGTCGCCTAGCCCCTCGTTAGACAAGCCATGATTCGCCTCTCGCTCTGGTGCAGCTCACTACGCCCTCAGATCAGATCTGATCAAATGCACGTTAACGCGATACGCAGAGTTGATTCAATGCAAAAGGCATTCAAGAGGTCTGCTTGTTGTAGTGGGTCACGAGAGGGGATGCATCAATCCCTCCCCCAAAACACATCCATCCACCCTGCTTCAATGAGGCCTTTGCGCTGTCGATGTGTTTTCAAGTACAAGGACTCCTGTTTTAGCTTCCACCTCTGCTTCATCTAGCCATTGAGATGTTCACAACAATTGAAAAGCAACAAAAGCAGCGCAAGTTTACTGACGAGCAGACTGCAGGGTGAAACTCTCACACTGTGCCATCTGCTGTTTACACGACATGGTGAGGCATGTGTCCACATTTGGCAGTCGTCTTCTCACGTGCGCGGTGCTTAGGTATGTTGGCTTACTTCCTCGCAAGCTCCCTTTTGAAGGCGTGCTTTGGAAGGTCCTAGGTGCCACAACTCTGGCCAATACCATCATTTGTTCCTTTGTTTGTTCGTTTGCCCCGATTCCAATCCCCTTCTTCCGTGTTCCCACAATGCAACTCTTGCAGTTGCCCACTTTCCCTTTCACCCCCACACGATGTCCAAGCTCGAGGCGTTTCACGATGTTGGTCAGGTCTAAACCCCATACTCCACTCTACCTCTTATTGCTCTGCCTTAACGAATACTTTGACATGACTTTGGGTTATTCAAGGACGCACACAACTGTGAGTGTCTAGATGGAGGTGAGCCACGTCCCAATGAACAGATCCTCAAAGCAAAGTATTCGAAGTCCACTCGCAGAAGTTGCACAAGTGTGTTGGAGCAGCTGTTCCTTGAATGGGTTGGGGAATGCGCCAGGACTGTGGACAAGAAACAGTCCCCAATTTCCTCACTCTCTGACACCTTTGCATTGTGTGATTGGTGGCAGCAAGTACAATGCTCTGAGGTGGTAGCCGTGGAGAGCGTCAGTTGGGATTGGGGAGCATTCACGGCTACATCGAAGATGTCATGTCACATTTTCTGTGTACTTCCGCCTTGCTTTTCATGTCTATTACATCAGAGGGCAAGGGAACCTGTGGTGGTGGTGGTGGTGGTGGTGGTGGTGGTGGTGGTGGTGGTGGTGGTGGTGGTGGTGGTGGTGGTGGTGGTGGT